CCAGGGTTGTGGAGTTTCGAGGGTGTTGCAAACTTGTCGGCCCCGAGCCATTATACTCTAAAGCCGAAAAGCCGAATGCCCTTATTATAGTACCCCTCCAAAAACCTTAAAGGCACTTTCAAGACTCTGAACTATTAGCCCAGACGAGGACGAGGACGCTGCAGCTTGCGTACCACCAGGGACGTCATCGACCAAAATGACCTCAGCGTTTGGGTTCGGGAGCTGGGGTCTCAGCTTGTTTTGGGGCTTTAGGATTAGAGGTTTTGGGTTTGTTAGGGTAGGGGCTTAGCGTTTTAGGAATGGGACTTTGGGTAGTGTGCGGCGCGGGGCGGTGTCTAGGGTTTCGGCGCTGACTCATTAATAAGCGCTTGAGGATATCGGGTTACTACGGGCTGGCTGCCGGACATCCGTTACATTGGGCCGAAGGACCGGTTTATGATAGGGTACTCCACTATCTAGATGCCCCAGTCGATGCTGGCAAGCAGTCCGCAGATCGGGCCACAGTAAGATCAAACTCTCGCTGTTGCAGGCGTCGTACCCGAGGTGTACAGCCAAAACTAGAATACCCAAGCCCACAGCCCCAACTCCAAAGCCCCAAAGCCCTGATTCCGAAACCCCAAACCTTTGAACCGTGAAGCAAAAACCCGACAAATCCTGAACCCGAACCCAGTCATAGCAATCTGCGTGGCTTCGGCTCTTCCCCACCCCAAACATTATGCATCTCACTCTGGGACGCGAGCACCCAAGCCGAGCCCGGTGAAGAGAGCGCCGGATGCCATGAACCATTGGAAAACCTTGCGTGAAAGGTCGCAGTCTCTAGTGCTTCCCGTTTCAATCCTTATAAGCCCTGAGCCCCAATATTGCAGGGAGATCAGGCACTTGTTCGTCACTAGTTCGGTCTTGCGTAGGAGTCTGCAGCTCTCTAGATGCTGGAGATACGATGCTGGGGGTGCCTTGGTTTCAACCCTTATCAGGACATTGAACTAGTTGATCATGAGCCAGAACGCCAAGCTTGTGTGGGCTTTGGGCTCAGAGGGGCAGGGGACCAGACTAAACCGATTTCAGCCAAACCCTAAAGCCTCAACCCCTAAACCAAACCTTAAAGGCCAAAAACCTCTCTCTCTCCCACCTCCCTTTTTGGAGGAGCTTGAAGGCACGAAGTCGAGAGCCCGGAAAGCCAAAGCCGAGGGTCCGGCTGCCCCATTGTAGGTGCTCCGGAGCTTTGCCGGAACATACTGGACCTGGGCTTTACTAGGGCCAGTAGGGTTCTTTCAAGGAGTTCCATCACAAGCTCCTCTATAGGTTCTATAAGGGTGCTCCTGGGATGAGATAAGGTTTGCCGGGGTTTAGGGCTCGGGGGCTGAATGGGGCTTGCTTTGTGTGATAAGGTTCCTTTACGGGGTTCTGTATGTGCACTACGTGAGTATTGGGGCCACTTGGAACAGCACGAGAGATTTCGGGCACAATCTGATCTATGGGACCGAATCATGCAATTTAGCCAGCCCAACTCCCAGGAACCATAAACTGTGAACACATTAAGGCTCGTGTCCCGTGACGCTTGGGATGATACGCGGCAAGGTGGGCGCTTTAAACAAAGGCCCCATCAACCCACACTTACCATAGTTTGTTCGGGGAGGGGTTCAAGTTTGTGGATCCTTGGAAGGGCCTCAGACTTCCTTTCGATGTGATGCTTGATCTGATGATTGGCTTCATGACCACGAAGTCACTCTCCTCTTGGGTCTCTGCATACAGATATTCATTCTCGGGCTGAGGGCTGAAGAGTACGTGACCACCATGCTGTGGTATCGTGGGCTTTCAGTTTAAAAAACTCAATGGCTGCCAGAATGATAGAATCCGACTTGAACATGGTCCGCAACTGTGCCCCCAGCGCCATAGAAGACCATGCATCCTGCCTCGGGGAATTTGGATGTCGCCGTGTAGGCCCCTGATTTATGAACCCGTCTCCTTTTATTTAACAAGGCATAACAAAAAAAACATCCTAACACATTAAAGACAAGGCGTTGATTCTTCACGGGCTTGTAGTGCCGTTGTCACACAGATCCGGGGTCAGAGGTCTCGGATCTCAAGCTTGGCGGCTTGTTTCTGCGTTTCGGGCACACGCTGGCTGATCTATGGCATAACCACATTGTGTGTCTTTGTCTTTCAGTTTATGGGGAACCCCATGAATGATATCTGTCCAGCCAATCAAGCGCTGAGACGGTACGTCTTGTAAGCTGCCCGTGGGGCCTAGCTTACGGTCTCGGGCTCAGGACATCCTCGTCGAAAGGCCAGAACTCCGACAGTGGCCAGCATCGCTTGAATCAATGCCGGCTTGAGTACCATATAAGCACTGTGTCCTATGTTAACACTTCACATCACAGTTTCGGCGCAGCTTGTTTCCGTGGCGAAAGCTGTTGGAAACGTTAACTCTGCAATCCATGTATCTATATTTGCTATGGCGAGTCGTCGAAGCCCTTCAACCGTAACTGGCGACACCAAACCCCCGACCATGAAAGCCGAATCGAGGCCCACTCAAGTCCTGTGCAGCCCTACATACCCCTATACTACTACAGTGCCCAACCCTCGTTGCCGTTCGAATCCCGGAAACCTCCACACTTGACCCGAGGCCGAGGCGCTGAAATCCGAGGGTTTGAGGGCTCAGGTTTGAGGTCTGGCAACCGAGAATCGAAACACCTAAACTAAACCTTTCAGGGCTGTGGCCTTTGGGGTCGAGAAAATCTGGGTTCTTGGATCAGCCAGCTTGGGCGGCTTCATGCGCAAACACTCCTGCCCAAGTGCCGGGCAATGGGTAAGCCATACGCGACTTGGAAAACCTTAGCTGTCACAGGGTTGCCATTGCATCGTTGCAGCCACATATGAGACGAACTATACAATCCAGTTGTTGATCTGTGCATCTGTTCATCGTGTGTCTGTGCGACACCATGTTCTTTCCGTCCGCTTAGACAGGTTCAGCAACTGATTCAGGTGCTTCGAAATCAAGGCTTTGCATTCTCATCTTCAGCGCTAGCAGGTGGGCCCCATTGCTGTCACGGAGTTTCACACAGTACCAGTACCTGGCTTTTCGGGAGGAAGATTTGAGACTTCGATTTCTGAATTTTCCCTTAACCCCTGAAAACCTTATGCATGCAGTCAAATGCCTATTGCCTAAAGTCATGAGCCTGACCCCGCAGCCAAAACAACGAAACTTATTGGCAGCTACATAAAAGCCCAGAACAAATATTGGACAACTGTAGATTGAATTACACGATAGGCACCCTCCACTGAACCAGGGCCTGTTGCTGACTACAGTCCTTTCAACACGGGGTCTTTTCTGGCTCCATCTCGTTTTACGGGGTGTCGAGAGATGGCTGCACTGACTCAGCTCGACACCATGTTCAACGAGGGCACCAGCGGCGCTTCGACGGAAGGAATATTTTCCTTGACCTGCGGAAGAGGTGCGAAGCCTTGAGGGTTGACCTCTGGGCTATCACATAGCCTCTGACCCGCATGAGGCCTGAGCCCTAAGACTAAAGCGGGACTAAGAGTACCGATTCCCCAAACCCTTCAGAACCCGGAGCGCAAGCTTGCAACTCTGAGCCGCAAAACATACGTCTACGGCCGACGCACCAGATTCAGTTACGGCCGGTGATGCCATTAAGAGGATCCCAACAGTTGTTGGGGCCCCGTGTGGCCCCGTCAACCTTGCTTATATGCGAAACGAGGAATGTGCAAAAGTTTCCTGAATACCAAATCTCAGACCCAGATAACCAATAACGCATACCCCTGAATCTCAGACCCATTGCTGAATCTCAAAGGCAAGCCTAAAATTCTGGAATCCTGCCACTGTGTAATTGGAAGTCATTCCCTATACACACAGACATACATTACCTTGCATTCCCACGTACCTACATACAAATCTTTGCGAGCAAGCCTAATGAAATCCAGGTTGACCTGTTCAGGGGCTTTTACAAGATTCTCCGGCCAAGACTCTGGACTGCCGCCTCAACCCAACAATTAAACCCGGCGGCATTTAATTGCGAAACCACAAACCCGGAACCCCAATCAAACTCTGAGCACCCTGCAAAACCTAAAATTGGACAAAGTATACCCTGAACATCCCCAAATCAAAAAAGCCTAGCTCTGCAAAAGCAAAATTCGGGCACCTCATGCAGCAGCCATGCTGGGCCAGTAACGCCGGGCAAGATTCAGGGCATTGGGATTTGAGGTTTCGGGCTTCCGGTTGGGGTTCATGCTGTGAAGTTCAATCTTTCTGGCTGGGCGATGTCCATGGCATGTCTATGGGGTATGCCGGTGATACTAGTATACAAGCGCACGAGAGTAAGCCAGCCACAATCTGATCTTGAAGTGCTAGCAGTTCTGAGCGCTTTTGGATTCCCCCTGGTTGCAGCAGCACAGTCCGTTAGGATATAGCTCTTGGGGTCTGATGGCCGTGGGCTTTCGGAAATTCATCCATGAGGCAACGGCAATCCAAACAAGGCCTTGAAGCATGAAAGAAAACGCCAACGCAGCGCGTACGGTAAAGCTCTAAGTTTCGGAGTGAGTGAAAGGTTTTCTGCTGGGCAGCGGCTCGTAGTAGTCATGGATAATTGAAGCGTTCTACCTTACATCGAATTTTCAGCAGAATGTGGTCGTCGGACGGATGTGGGCAAAGGCCGCAGGAATGTAAACCAAGCTTCAAACCTCTAAGCAGTCGTATACCGATCACAGTCCACCCGAAGCCCTGTGATTTCTTGGGGCTACTAGTTTTGGGGTACTGCTATCTACCAAACCAATACAGAGCCCGGAAGGCCCCAAACCAAAAAGGGGGTGATCGGAGCTTTCAGTTGATGAAGGACAGCCACAGGATCTCCAAACTTACACGATTATGGATACACCCTGGCAACCTATCCCTAAACCCGTGACCCTCGTAAGCCCTTATGGTAACACCCAAACCTCAGATTGGTAGAATCCAGGACTGCCATTCTTTTACCCTCCGCTCGCTAAAGCTCTGAGCGGCGAAGCTCAGAGGCTCGGACGGCCTCCTTTCGAAGAGTAAGGATTAGAGTCCAGGGTTCGGGGGGTTGGGGTTTGGGGTTTAGGTTGTAGGGTTTGGGGCTTCCATATGGCACTATAGTGGTTTGTTCCGACCTCAACAAAGTAGGGGCCTGAGGAGGTTTCTGTGGCTTTGCAAGGGCTCCGAAGGGTCTGATAGGGATTCCGTGCGGTTTCGTACAGGCTTCAAAAGTATGCTTGAAAATGGTTAGACCTGTCCATCTATATATATATATATGTACGCATATTAATATACATTGCTTTGTATGCGCCTTAAACGGGTTCTAGATAGTTTTGTGCAGTATCAGGCTCATAGAGTCTGTGTAAGGGCGTAAGCGGTCCCTTGAGAGTCTTCTAAGGGTTTACTAAACCTTTAAGTGTGGTACCTTGGCGGTGTACGTTTTTTTTTCGTAAGCTCGGGAAATTTGGAACATGGGTTAATGCAAGTGAATATCACGTCGAGACGTTCAGATTTAGCTGCATATATTCCATCCCAAGCACTGCCGTCCTGCTTGCCGGAATCCCGGGACACCTTGGCACATCAGCGGTTCCACGGTGGATTGAAACGCTCGGGGTTGGGCTTGGGAGTCGACGCAGATCAGTCAAGTAGGTAGTGGTGGGGCGCGGTGAAAATATACCAAGTGTGAGACCCTGCTTCCATAGACCCTGAAAGTTGACCCCCGCAACCCAAGGTGCAAGGCACGATCAGCAAGTACAGTGCTGGCACTATATGTGAACCAAGCTCTCAATACTATTCAATACTTAGGAGGAGGACTAGAAATCAATCAACAAGCTTTCTCGAGTCATATATACTATGATCACGGCGGGTAAATAATACTCAGCACTTGCGCTGATGAAACGCAAGTAAGTAGCTGTTTCCTTCTGCCTGGGCACTATTATGTTCAAGATATTGTATCAGAGAGAAACAAGGCAACGAAACAAAGGAACTACATTGGAGCATATACTCACAACCGCCATAGATCCTCTGGGGCCATGGCCATATTGATCACCTTGTCAAGGTAAAGTGCAGGATTCAGGGCATGAGCTGTTGGCTTTTGCAGGACAGGGTTGCATTGACTGCTGGGCCCAGGCAGGCTATGCTACACGATGAGGTTCCGGCTTCCTCACTAATTGCGATGCGAGCATAGAGGTTGACAGGTGCTTGGGGACTGCTTTTGAGCTGTGGGTTGGAGGGCTTGAGATGGAGATACGAAACAACAAGTGGCCTGACTCCGAAAAGAGCCGGTGAAGGGTGTTCGCAACATCCACCGAACGCAGCTATTAGGTTCACAACCCACAATTTTGTGCGGTTGGGGTCTAGACATTCACCCCCAGGACCACACAGCCTAAGGATCAGGGCGAGGGCCTACTGGCATGCCCCAAGACCAGGCTTCGCTAATGCACGGCCCTAAGCAACTAGAACCAGGCTTTGGGGTGTATGAACGTGTAACTACACGACATGCTTCAAGTGTTTGAAAAATGAGGACTCATTAAAACCAAGACCTCTAATTGCATTGCTTGCGATAATGCTTCTGGGGCCTACTGCTTGATAGGCTACATAGCGAGGATAGAGAGACACAGGCAAACGCAAACACGAGGGGAGAGACTTAAGCAGGGTGGGTTTTGATGTTGCGGAGTTCTTGCCAGTCGGGTATCCCACACTGTCAAGATTCAAAACGATTGAAACAAACCGCTACGACCATGTAACCACTGGAAATGTTGTTACAACCCGATGCCACCTTCGGACCACCCCTACACCCTGGAAATCTCCTACAGGTTTAGAATAAACCCCAAAAAAACCTAAAAGCCCAAAATAAGCAAACCTTGAATCCCACCTCAACCGGAGTCCTCAATGTTAATGTACACAGAAATCTCAGCCCCTGTTCATGGTCTGGCCTCGTCGCCCTCTTCGCCTGCGAAAGGGTTGAGGGTTTCTAGGGTGGTGGAGTTTGGGTTCCAGCTGTAGGGTTTTAGGCCTTGGGGCTTGATTCAAGCGCTTTACGCTTCAGGGCTTAAGGCTTCAGGGCTTGCATAGTTATATTGGGCGCGTCAGTGCAAGAGATGCTCTAAGGGCTAGATCGGAGGGTTGTCCGCTGTGTGATACTGAGGCTGCACCGGCCATCAAATTTTACTGCAGACTAACTCCTGGCACCGCTGATCTTAAACCCTTTTTGCATCGGGCCTTTACCACCGCCCGGTAATCCCCACTGATCTTAAACCCTAAACCCTAAACCGTTCGGGAGGCTTGCTGCCTCAGGGGCCCAAGGACTCTCGACAGGGATGCTTGTGCATTAGGATTCGTCAGGGGAGACGAGTCTTCCATTCCGAGAATGGTGGATTTCGGAGGCAACCTGCGGGTGGACCCTTCCAGGAGGAGGCTTAGGGTTTGGGGTTCAGAGTAGGCGGATCCTGACTTGAATCTGACTCTCTCTCTCTCTCTCGCTCTCTCCCTCCTACATCTGTTTTAAACCCGTACTGAGGCGGATGTGTGTAAGACCAGCGAAGGGCTTGAGAAAGTCCCGGCCTTCTTCATGGCCTCAAGCCTTTAAGGACTCCCCTCAAGATTACCGAATCCAGAACCCGAGTCCCCTAAGCGATAGCCCAATCATCTCGAACCCTAAACCAAACAAACAACGGTAAATCGCAAGGATTCCTAAAGTGCCGAGAACGGAAGCTCTAAAATAGGTGTAGACTCGGGATCTTATACACCCAAGAGCCGATTGAAAGCTCGAGGCTCAACCAGTCCCAAGGAATTCCCCCTTAAACCCTGAACCTCAGAGTCGAAGCCCTATAAACTCTTAGCCCTCATTGATCGGCCTTAAACCCTAACCCAAACCCTCAACTCCAAACCCTATAGTCCCTTAACCCTAACTATGCCCTAAAGCCCCAAGCCTTCCATCATGCCACGCACTTTGCGATACACCGCCTGGGGATCAACTCGAGATCGGAATGGTAATTCAACGCAGGAGGAACATGGGAGCTTCAGACGAGCCCAATATGGACCCCAAATAAACCCGAGACAAGGAATATGAACAGGTAACAATAATAATACTTTACAAGAAGAAGACTATTGCACACAGAAATTAGCAGATAATGGGCTCCTCGCACAGGCCCCCACCCCAAGGAAGGCATGTCTAGAAGGCGTTTTGGCTCGTCCGATCCAACTCGAGTCGTAACACTCTAGACTCATGTGGGTTTAGGGTTTAGTGGTTTAGGGTTTGGGTTTATGGGTTTCAGCGCCTCATTATCTCGGGCATGAAGGGTTCAGGGATTGTGCCTCACCTTCTTATCCGGATCCGTATGCTTTAGGGGTACTGTAGGGTATAAGGCTTGAGACCAGCAGCCGAGCCTGCAATCTCTAAGTTGGCAAATCCAGAGCTAGATTGCACTATAAGGGCCTCAAAAATTACAATAGGTTTTTCGGGACTAATATCAGAATAGTCTGCTTCTGGGCAGAGCCCCGACTGAAACTGGATCTCCCATGTGAGAAATGCAAGCTAAATATGCTATTTTTTGCATAAGTCAGCACCTTCTGTCTCGCACATGGATGGTCCGCCGGAGCTCTTCTCAAGTTTGTACACGAACTGAGGCCACCGAAAAAACTACAGTACCGCCCTGAAACCTAAACTAAAGCCGATAAACCCTCAACCAGAAATCCCTGAACCCTAAGCTGCCGTTGCCTAAGTCCTACAGTACAGTAAACCCCCGGAAGCCTAACAAACCTCAGAGCAGCCCTCAGTCAGCTCGCCTGTGCAGCCTTCGGCGACGATAACCTGAGATGCAAGGCTTAAGTGCGGCGCGGCACGACCTTTTAAGGCCAAAATACCGGAGTCTGAAAGCCTCATCCTCGAAAGTTTTTGGATAGGTCGTTTGGTTATTTACCGTTAGTGTCAAAGCAGTCAACAATCACATGCTCGCCTAAATGCTAAACGGCTCACATCTCACATTACAACTCCACTAATTACTTGTTCTTGCTTTCGCTTTCAACACCCAAACCCTTTCTCACCAGAACCACCATTTGGTGATGGTTGGTGCGACTCTTAAGTGCAACCCGTCAAGGCCTGCAAGTCTGGGGCTCAGACTTTGGGATCATTACTGTAAGGGCCTCATATTCAGTAAACCTGTGGGTGGGGGGGTGTATTGCATTATGCCAAGAACAAGTTTGGAGCGCCGTATAAATCATAATATTACATACTTGCTGCTTATGCTTCTAAAAATTAGGTTTTTCGCGGTTTTGCATCTGGCTTCGGATGTCTCCAGGAGTCTTGGCCTTTTCTCTGCCGAGAGTTGAGGACTTCCGGTTCTGCAGCCAAGAGTCTGCACATGGGTAGTAGTCAAAATTAGGCTCCCGTACATAGCCCTTTCAAAAAAGTTGTAGGGGTGCCATAATATTTTGGGGACCTAAGCATTGACCCTAATTTAGAGAACTACCCAGATGTATTCGGGGGTCATAACCCTTTGTTGCATCAGGGCATGCGCGATCGCCCGGATATTGACTCCCAAAATGCAGACAATTAGTAGAACTGCGGTGAACTATGAACCCTAAACCTAAACCCCCAACCCTAAAAAACACCCACAGTTGCTCCGTGGCATCGCTTGATCCTTCGAAGTACCCGGAACCCTAATTTCCATCAGCATCTCCATCTGCAAACACTCGGACGTCGCCGGCTTTTTATTGATGCTTGCTGCGCAACCAGGTATGTGACTGCGAGGATTCCACGGAGCCGTGGGCCACAGGCGCTTGTTCTCGAGACACTTAAAGTCTATTCATCCATGTATCTCTATCTCTGACTATATCTGTCTCCATCTATCGGCCTGTCTATCTGCTATCTATCTACCTGGCTTTGGAACATCTGAAACTTGTACTAGTTCGCAGTGCCTTTGATTTAGCGTTCCAGATCGGCGGGTCACGAAGTCCTAAAAGCCCCCCCAAATGGGAGTTTCCAAAACTAGGGGAACCAAATATAATACCTTAAATAGTAGGATCCTTACTATTCGGGCCCCAAGATAACATACCCCTACTTTGAGGAAGCTCACAAATCTTGCTCTAAAATGCTCGAAGTAGATTGGATGCACACGAAGATGTAAAACCAACGTCTCGAGCCCGAGCAAGCGCCAATTGCCGTGTGGCAAGCTCCGATCCAAATGCAACCAAATGACCCGCAAATCCCAGGCCCAGAAGCACACATAAACCGTATCGCGACTGTGACTGCGCAGGCAAGGCTTCGACAAACGCATTGCGGATTCCGGATCCCGAAACCCTAAACCCAGCCTACATCGGGGCTTCTCGCAATCGGGCATCAGCCTCAAGGTACGGGGCTCCAAAATAACACATTACTCTGCAATTCGACCAGAAATCGTGCTTGTCTGATGTGGGATTCCCTTAAACCCTTTTGCTGCACCCTAAAGCCTAATCCCTAACAAGGTGCTCGAACTGGAAGGATCACGAATTCCAAAAATTCCGGAGCGGGGGATGCCTGGACAGACGGCTGGTAGTTCCGGACGGTTGCTGAACCAATGGTCCCAAATTAATTGAGGTTCTTGCAGTAACGATACCACTATCAGCTTCCCCTATCTTCTTAACCTCTTACATATCCGGAAACTATACCCTTGAAGCCAACATGCAGTCCTGAAACCCGAAGCCCTGACACAAGCCCTCATTAATCCCAGTGGGCCGGTCTACAGCCCTGAAGCCTAAGGAGCCCCCACCCTGTAATAGTGACCATAAGGACTATGTTAGGACCCTATTATACTCCTATTATACCACTATTACAGGGTGGGGGCAGCTTCTAACCTAAACCTGCTTAAACCCAACATGCAAGTCTGACGCTCACCTGCCTACCTGGACCCCAAAAGCATGTAGAATATAATGGCCTTTTCTATAGGTGTGGGGCCATTATTTACCTACTTTGCGGCTTTGGGTAGGCGCCTTGTCTAAACGAGTTCTTCAGCCATAGCTGCCACCAAAATAATCGTCGTAAGGCAGGTCCCTCAGATTTAGATAGGACCTGCCCCAAATCTGCAGGCTCCCCTGATTGAAACAAGCATGCACTCTTGCGACTTGCTGGCAAGAACTGTCGAGTCTGGCCCGAAAGAAACAACATCGGGTGCGCAGCTTTTCTACCTTTGCAGCCTCCCTTTTTGCCGCTGGACTCAGGCCTAGCCAGTCTACGACCTCTCTAATCCCTAAGCTTCCTAAACCCTAGGCCGTCAGGCTTGTAGGGTGTAGGGCTTCGGCTCTACAGTCCCGTCTCTATGGTTAGGTTAGGCTTTAAAACCGTTCGGGGGCTATGGCTAAGGTTGTGGAGCCCCTCGAATCTTATTTCTGGGATGCCCTAAATCAAAACCCGGCACCGAAACTCCACAACTTCACACCTGACCGTTGCCGTAAGATGTCAACAGCGAAGATCCTCGTCAAAACATACAAGTGCCGGACGTAGGGCTTAGGTTTCGTCGGCTTAGAAGCATAATTCGGGCTTTGCAAACCAAAGGCCTAGGCTCTCTCACCACGTCTCCCTGCCAGAATCGACTGCAACTCTGCCTGGAGAGTGGGGAGACAACCTCACTCCTCCCCGCTCCAAATAAGATCCTCCGGCCGTCTCTGCGACGGTGGATCGCGACCCTTCTGCTCGGAGAGCTGGGGTTCACATCTCAAACACTGAAGGTCCATGTGGGTGGTTGTCAAAATTATGGTACCTTGTTGGGTACCCTAAATATTGGGTGCCGTACTATAATAAGGACCCAAAAAGGGACCCTCATATTGACAACCACCCATATGGTATACACATGTAGTATGCGCCTTAAAGCGTTGCCGTATGGGTACCTTCATGCCAGATCATGTACTGTGCGGGGCACATGGACCCTCAGGGAAAGTTCTCAACTCTGAGGAAGGGCATGGGGCCTTCGAGAAAAGAGACACGGCCACTCTGCCTGAATCAGGGCACGCGCCCAGGCAACTCTCAGGGCATCTGCGCCTCATGTTAAAAAGCAAAGTTCCTGGGAGCCCAATATACGGTCTAGGGTCTAGGGTTGAGGTTTTAAAGCTATCTATCTAACTTTCTGTCTATCTATCTCTTCTACCTACTCTGTCTAGTCTATCAAACTATCTAATCCATCTACGCGAATCTAAAGTAAACGAAGCTGGCCCAAGCTATCTATCTACCTATCTTTCATTACGCTATACTGTATTGTACTGTACTATATTACATTATACTACTTAATATTATACTATTTTGTGTCACATTACATATTCTGCTTTGCTTTATGCATTAAAGATACATTGAGTCAACATAAGCTGTGTTAACATAAAATTACACAGTGTATTTGCTTGTATATGAATATACTCTGTGATAACCAACTATATAGAAACATATTATACAATTCCATGCTATATGATATCCTTCTGTTATCTTACCTACTTGTTGAAAGGGTTCAAGATTTTGCTCAATCCACAAGAAGAAGAAGCGCGCACACACACACACAGACACACACACACACACACACACACACACACACACACACACACACACACACACACACACACACACACACACACACACACACACACACACACACACACACACACACACACACACATTCTGCAGTCTTGGATCCATCCATAACCTAGGCTGTACTGGGCTCCCCTGGAGGCGTCATGAGGGAATGGCGCCTTACCACTTGCTTCCCGATTTCAAACAAGACCCCTGCCATCCATAACTTGTGGTGCACTCTTCCTGCCCCATGGCGAGCATAAAGGAAGCAAGTTGGAAGCCTCATGCGCCGATGAATAATATTCCGGAGTTTTGTTAGGACATTTCGGGGCTGCTGCCAAACTACTGCCCTTGAGCTCTCCACCTTCTGGCACGACTTGTTAACAAACTGAAGAGATTGCGCCAGCATATGCAGTATGCAAACAATGACCCGGAACAGCAACTCAAATGTACACGAAACTTGATCTGGTTCCGGAGGCCTAGTTCAAGAACAGATTCATCATTTAGCCCTAAGCCCTAAGCCCTATTACATAACTTAAGGATGTAGGAAACAAGAAACCTAATTAACCCTAAGCTCGAGAAAGCCTTCGGCAGGTCTGCTTAAACCCTGCAGTGTAGCTTAAGGGCCTCGGGCTCTCGCTTTGGCTTCGACATTCCTAGACTATCCCAAACCTTGGAGACCTAACCTGGGTACGGAAGCGATTCATCAATTTTTTTGGGTTTCAGAATGAGGAACAGATTTCAGTGCTTGCATGTTTTTAGGCAGAGGATTGAGAGCCAGTTGTCAGCAAAGCTGGAAAGCAGGAGGGGATGGAAGCTCTGTGATGCTATCAGACGGCAGATTAGAAAACCGTAAAGAAACCCGAAAGCCGTGAACTACGAACAACAACCAATCGCCCTATTTACCTCAAGCCCAGTAATCATCCTCGCAGCAACCCCCACGTCCCATAATATTATGAAGTTCAAACATGCTGCAGCGATCGGCCACTCGCCCCGCCTTGTAGAAAAGGAGTCAGTGCCCGGAACCTTTTTGCATCCAGGCCTCTTGAAGTCTTGCCGGGGAACCGCGAATGCTGTAGCACTCGAACCGGAAACCCTAACCCCACAGACTAAACCCCATACCCCTCTACCAGGTTTCCACGCCGACCCAACGATGACTTACACAACCAACTTTAAAGCCCCCCATCCTTCTCGTTTTGCAGAACACTGCTTACATGATGATGTACTGCGATATGCCAGTGGTTCGTCTCTGTGGTGGTCATTGGGAATTGCGCTTCTTGGCT